CCACTCATATGACAATGGCGAACTGATCCCTAGCTATCCTTGGATCGGCCTACATTGGCTCAAAATATCACCTCGACAATTTTCATGGTCGAAAGTCGGTTCACGATCGAGTTCTTTGGTCGCATGAATTTAAATCCCTAACTAGCCTTTCATAACGGTTAGTATCCCAGAAATGATCAGTTCCGGGCGAGATCTAACTACAAGTACGTTCATAAAACCATCCATTTCATAAATCCCAAGTAGGTGAGATTTCAGAATGTCACATACTCTGTGGAAGTTAAACACTCCCCCCCTCCCAAAGATTCGGATATTCCTATGGAGTGCATGCCAAAAGGCCTTACCAACTAGAGAAAATCTGTACAAGAGAAAGATCGTACCTAACCCCTTATGCCCCTTGTGCAAACAGGTACCGGAAACAGTCGAGCATATCCTACTCCTTTGCCCATGGACAGCTTCCATTTGGGCGGATCCAAGGCTAAATCTGCAATATTCGAGCCTACCAATCGCACGCCTGGATAAATGGGTCTCACAAGTTTTGGAATCAAACACATACCTGGTGACAACCAAGGAGATAGTCGGAATACTATGGTTAATTTGAAAATCGCGAAATGCCTTCGTTTTCAACTTGCAACGGCCAGAACCAAACCGAATTATAGACATCGCACTCACAGAGCTGGCAAGCATTCAGAGATGGAATTCACGCAAAATGAACAGAACCAAACACAGAAACGTTTTAGATCTTACTTGGAAGCAGTCGACGAGGGGATCTCTAAAGCTTAACCTGGATGGCTCAAAATCGGAAGGATCGTTGGACTCAACAGTGGCTGGGGTGGTTCGCAACTATAGAGGAATTATGATCGATGGGTTTGCGCACTCCGTTCATGCTGGATCAGCCGAAGCAACTAAAGCCCTGGCTCTTCTCCATGGCCTGCGTTTTGTGGAAGAAAAGCTGGGAAAAGAAATCCCATGTGGGAGCAAAGTGGAAGTCGGTATACTTTGCTCATTCAGTGACTAGTTCAAGGGGAGCAAAGTCCATGGAACATACAGGCCTGGATGGACAAATGCAGATCAAAGCTGGCCCAATTAAATTGGGTGAGTTTGTCTTATTGTCCGAGAGAAGCAAATTAACTTGCAGATTGGGTGGTCAAGGCAAAATGGAAAAAAGAACTTCCCTCTGACTGGCTGCTTTATCCCCCGAAATCTATGTTGGATATCATAATTTTTGATGTAAACAAACTTTTGCTGTTTTAATGAAATTTCATGCATTATCGACCAAAAAAAAAAGTACATCAACTTTTTAAATTTTGCTCAATACGAGGCTTCCATGTCAAGTGGTTTTGCTGATACAGTTCGCTAACTCGGCAAAATTTAAGCACCGTTAATGACATGACATCACTTATTTAGCAAAAATTGTGCCATCTCCATAGTGTTGGGTGATGAGAAGAGGGTGTCGGTTTGGACAATCTTAGCTATGTATAATGTTTTTGCTGATTGGCATCACCTCAAGAGATCCCATTAAATATCAATATGGATAATTAATGGCTACTTAAATGCGATGGTGTCCAATTTATTGTTTTCCGTCCGGCATTTTGATGAAAGCCTCACAATCACCCCGTTAAAAAAGTTAGTACTTAATTGAAAAGAAAGGCGTAGATATTTGTTCGCAAAAATAAACAAAAGTTTAGATATTTGCGGTGTTTTATGTATATTACATATATACATATATATAGATGTTGTGGAGATGGGATCTGTGACATCCTCAAATTTCGACCATATTCGGGATGTAATGAAATGATGATTTTAATCGATGCACTATTAGTAATTCTCGTTTTGAATTGATCACTCATGAGAGACTAACCGATTGAGAAAGGCTGTTAAGGAATTAAGTACGCAAGACCTGAGAACTCGATCAGGGATTGACAATTCGATCATAAGGATTGACGAGGGACAATTTTGAGCCATTATAGACCGATCAAGGGATGGTTATAGAACGATTCGCCAATAGTATACAATCGGATCGCGGGTGATTCCACTTGACCATTGTATGAATTGCGAACGATCCTAAACCCATTGACTGATGATCGCGTACTTCGGAACTAGCAGTTGATCCCTCGCAATTACATGACAATCGAAATCATCCATGATTCGAGAAAACTTAAACGTGATTTGATATCGAATCAACCACTGGTTGAATACGCGTAACTCCTAAAAGCCACCCGTTAGTTTGAGATATACTAAAGTCGCAATCGATCGATTTTGACCATGAATTAGAGTCCGAAATTGGTTGTCGATCTTTCGAGGATTTCAAGACTAAACTATTGGACGTCGCCTCGTTAATTCTCCGATTTATCGATTTGCTCGGAATTCTCGGAAAAGGATTAATGGGCCGAGAATTTGAGCCCACGAGGATGTGGGCCGGATGAAGGCACATTGGGCCTCAAGCCCAATGTGATTCGGCCACTTAGGCCCAAGGCAAGCTCAAGTAGGCCCAATTTAGCCCATTAAGCCCAAGTTTGAGCCCATTAGCATTTTCAAGCCCATTCCTTATCCGTTTGAACCCAAACTTGATTTATACGAGTCCGTACAAAATTCTAGCTCCTATACGTGTATAAGTATTTTTATACTTTGTGAAATTACCAAATTACCCTTCTTGCATTTATGATAAAGAAACAAAATGGTTTAATGCAAGAAGACTTTGTTATCTTGTGTGATCATGAAGAAGACTTTGTTGGCTTTGCATTTATGAGAGAAATATCTCTTGGCCTCTCTTCTTTCCCCCCCAACAGACTACTCTCTCTCTCTTTCCTTTCCCCCCCTCATTCACGTCCATTTCTCTCTCTTCCTCTTCTTCCTTCCTCACGCCAACCCCCTTCCTCCCTTTTTGCTCAGCCACATTCAGCCACCATTCAGCCCCTTTGGCTGTTGATTTACTGGCCAGAACCATCAGCAGCGACACCGTGACTCCCCACCACCGTGGGCAACCCGTTCATGCCGTTTTCCGTCGCCAAATCGCCTCACCAAAGCCAAACGGGTTCTGTGGGCTGCTGTTCAGCCCCGTTCCAGCTGTATGTCGTCGTCCCGAGTCGATTCCGAACCATACAACGCATAGCCCTCGCCGCCGCCGTCGCGTCCGTGATGTCGGAATCGCTAACGGGTGAGTTTTCGCCCTAATCCCTTGCTTAGTAGGTTAAACTTGATTAGAGCGGATTAGTTTAAGTCAATTATGTTTAGTGTTAATTAATTAGGAATTAGTTGTTAAGCTGTTGGAATATTATATTAATTTTCGGGAATTAAATAATAATATTTTATTAATTTTCGGAATTTAAAATATTAATATTTTATTAATATTTTTGTGGAAATTCCGAAATTAAATTGTGGTTATTTTAGGCTTAAATTGTGATGCCTAAGTTGGAATTTTGCCTTATATATTGGTTTGTATGTTGAATTGAATTGACTGACTATTATTAAATATAGAATTGTGGGAAATTAATTAATAAACCTTGAGGTGTCAAGTTTATTTGTTAAGTTTTATGTGAGAAATATGTTGTGGATACTTAAATATAGAAGCATGCCGAGTTTGAGAATTTATTGATATGTGTATAATCACGTGTGATTATTTTAGTGCATTTTTACTGCAACATTTTATTGTATTAGCACGGATCATGTCTGTATTAGCTTTTGAAAAGGATAATAATGGAACTTGAGTGGTTGCTATGTGTGCATGATCACCTAAAGGTTCCTTTGTGTCCGGTTCTACCGGATGACCGCCAACCTAGGATTCGGCCGTGGCCCTAACGAGTGTCCCCAATTTGGTAATTGGAAGCCGTCGCTGGTAGTAGGGGAGACGTAGTCATTCGCGAATCGGATTCGGCATGAACCCATTTATGGGATATGCCGTCATTGTGGTCGGGTGAGACGATACCGTGCCCGACGGGGCGGGACGATGCCCGGTTATGCCGGAAGACCGCCAACCTTATGCGAATAATGCGGGTTGTGCTGTGCCCTGTGTGGCTATAGTAATCGGAATACGCGTGAAAGATTGTAGTGGCATTGCGCTTGATTATGAGATGAAATTGTGAGGCACGGTATAGGACGGGCCGAAGCGGTTTCACCTTATAATCGGGACACGTGTTGATGCATTGTGCATGAAAAAGTTGTTGCGTATTCTGATTACATTATATGCTTGTTGCATTATGATTGTATATGATGTTATAACGTGCAGGGCATGTGCCAAGGCAAGGTAAGGTTAACTACGATTGTGTGATGGCATCTTGTGTACGTTGGGCTGAGTTGCATGTTTTAGGTGCATCCGATATGAGTTGACCTCCTAATCGAGGCTTACGTCGTTAACTCGCTGAGAATTATCTCATTGTTGTTGTTTAACCATTTTCAGGCCCTAAGTGCTGAAAAATCACCACGTGCGATTTTGGGGTCCCTGTTGACCGGGACCAAGAGGTGACTAGGTACTCGTTCGAGGGGTCAAACTTCTTTTGAGGTCACCTCGTAGGTAGAGGAGATAGGTTAACCCCCTACCTTTGTGGTTGTAATCGGGAAGGTCCACGTAGCGGACTTATAATATATTAACGCGATGTATTGCTGATGATGTTGTTTAAATTGAAGTGTGTTTTCCTTACTATCCCGTTTATTGATTGTTGTTAGGTGAATTAAGTTCGCTTCCGCATGCGTTTAATTGTTAATGATTTGATTGGGTCGGTGACACGTCCTGGGACGTCACATTTATAACGACCGTGGTGGGATGTTAGCGCGCTCGAGGGTCAGGGCGTGACATCCCCGTTTAAATGGTATCAGAGCAAGGTTAGCTCAATCCAAGTTTGGTCGATACCTGGAGTGATAAGGTGCGATGGATTTTGGGATAGTTAGTTAGGAAAACATCTTATGCCTTTGCTTGACAATATGATTCTATTATTTTAAGCGGATTGTTCATGACTTCTAATTCCTTATTGGAATTGGAAAGCAGGTTTCTGTGAGAATCCTGCGAGATGAGCAATCCTGAGCAGAGGACTCCTAGGAGAAAGGCAGCACTAAATCAGATTGGTGCTGGAGGAAGGGCACAAGAGGATCCTAGATTGGACAAGATCCTGCAAGCCCTAGAGACTATGGTGGGGCAGCAAGCTCAGAACCAAGCAAATGCTACTGCTGTTGCCGTCGCACCTGTTGATGTCCCGCTAGCTAGGAACGGGATTGGGGATCGACCAATGCACAAACTGGTCGAACAATTTCTGAAATTAAAGCTGCCGAAGTTCTCTGGCGCAGGTGATCCGGAGGCAGCAACCCTCTGGGTTAGAGAATTGGAAAAAGGTTTCGCCGTATTAAGATGTTCTGAGGAGGAAAAGGTGATGTTAGCGGTTTACCAGTTACAGGGTAACGCTAGCACTTGGTGGGAAGCCACACAGAGAAGAGTCTTTCTCAAAGGTACGGTTCCGGGGTGGAATGCCTTTGTGGAAGCGTTTAATGGAAAATATTTCTCAGACTGCACAAAGGAGCAGAAAATGGTTGAGTTCCAACAATTTCGTCAGAATCATTTGTCGATTGATCAGTATGAGGCGAAGCTCGCCGAGCTGTCTAAGTATGCCCCGAGATTGGTCAAAAACCCGATTGACAAAGCAAGGAGATTCCGAGATGGTCTAAAACTGGAAATCAAGGATCAGCCGGTGCCCTTGAAGCTGAAAGATTATGATGAGCTGTATGAGCGAGCTCAGCTGATTGAAAGGAATATAGCCGAACGTGCAGTCGCATCTGGATCGCTGTTCACACCTAATAGGGATAATCGTCGGTTCGGGAAGGGACCAATGACTGGGAGAAGGTATCCTATCCCTCCCAATAGAAAGAATAGCATTGGGAAAACCGGCATACAACTCTAATGCCCCGTGTCGATTCTGTGGAAAAAGGCATGGGAATGGCCCTTGCCCAAGCAAGCCAGTAACTTGTTTCAACTGCGGCCAACAAGGCCACTTTTCGAGAAGTTGTCCCCATCAAGAGATGCCACCTCAACAACCCCGAATGGGACAGCAAGCTGGGAACGTCCCGCAGAACAATTTGAACCGACCTCAAGTGCAAGGAAGGGTTTATGTTGTCACGAGGAATGTGGTGGAGGATTCGCCTGCCGTGATTACAAGTACGGTCTCATTGCACGACCATGCTGCATATGCCTTATTTGATCCAGGAGCTACACATTCTTTTGTGGCTAAGCAGTTTGTTGAATTAGTGGGGTTAAGCCCGAAACCGTTGGAAGCGGTTTATAGTATTTCTACCCCTTTAAAGGATAACGTAGTATCTGCAGTAGGATGTACTGATTATAAACTGTCTGTTGATGGTCATGAAGAAAGCATAGATTTAATTATTCTGACGATGTTCGATTTCGATGTAATTATTGGAATGGATTGGCTCACCAAGCAAAGAGCTACAGTAAACTGTTATCGTAAAACGATTTAGTTTGAGCCTTTAGGGTGCGTTGGTTTTGAGTTTGTCGAGAATCAAGGAGGACCTTCGAGTCCTTTGATTTCGTCACTTGAAGTGACTCGACTATTAGATGAGGGTTGCCGAGGTTATTTGGCAACCGTAGTGAATACATTGGTCGAGGGACCAAAGTTGGAAGACATCGTCGTAGTGCGAGAGTTTGCAGATGTTTTACCAGAGGAATTGCCAAGATTACCCCCAGAGCGAGAAATTGAATTCGTGATTGAGTTGGCCCCTGGGACAGAGCCGATTTCCAAGGCACCTTACAGAATGGCGTTGTCGGAACTAAAGGAATTAAAGGTGCAGATGCAGGAGTTATTGGACAAAGGATTCATTCGTCCTAGTGCATCACCTTGGGGAGCGCCAGTTTTGTTTGTAAGGAAGAAGGACGGTTCATTATGCCTTTGCATTAACTATAGGCAGCTCAATCAAGTAACGGTCAAGAATAAGTATCTGTTACCAAGGATAGATGATTTGTTTGACCAGCTTCAAGGAGCATCGGTATTTTCTAAGATAGACCTGAGGACGGGTTATCATCAGTTGAGGATCAAGAAGGAAGATATACCGAAGATAGCATTTCGAACACGTTATGGTCATTATGAGTTTACTGTAATGCCGTTTGGTCTAACAAATGCACCTGCAACTTTTATGGATTTGATGAACCGGGTGTTCAAAGAGTATCTAGACCAATTTGTGATCGTGTTCATTGATGATATTCTGGTGTGTTCGAGGAGTTTAGTGGAACACGAACAACACTTAGAGATAGTGCTGCAAACCCTTCGAGAGCACACACTTTACGCTAAGTTTAGCAAGTGCGAGTTCTGGCTCAATCGAGTAGCTTTTCATGGTCATGTGATTTCTGATGAAGGAATTTCAGTAGATCCAACCAAGATTGAAGCGGTTATGAATTGGTCAAGACCAACGACGGTAACTGAAATTCGAAGTTTCTTGGGATTGGCCGGCTATTATAGACGATTTGTGGAAAGGTTTTCTGCGACAGTCATGCCTTTGACGAGATTGCTGAGGAAGGACACAAAGTTTGAATGGACGGATAAGTGTGAATGTAGTTTTCAAGAGCTTAAGCAAAAGCTAACTGCTGCACCTGTCTTGACTATACCGTATGGTTCCGGAGGTTATGAGATATATAGCGATGCGTCGTACAAAGGTTTAGGATGTGTCTTAATACAACATGGAAGAGTGGTTGCATACGCGTCCCGACAGCTAAGACCTAATGAGTTGAACTACCTGACGCACGATTTGGAATTAGCTGCAATCATCTTCGCACTAAAAATTTGGAGACACTACTTGTGCGGGGAAAAGTTTCAAATTTATACGGACCACCAAAGTCTGAAATACTTGTTTTCTCAGAAGGAATTGAACATGAGACAGCGTCAATGGATGGAACTTCTCAAGGATTACGACTGCGACATCCTATATCATCCGGAAAAGGCTAACAAGGTAGCAGATGTGCTTAGTCGAAAGTCGGCCATCGCGCACCTAATAATTAATGAATGGACTCTACTTGAGAAATTACGAGATTCAGAGTTCAAGTTTGAGGTAGGTCACCTCTCAAGTCTGTTGGCTACTTTAAGAATCGAGCCAGAGGTTCAGGCTAAAATTAAGGCATTGCAATCAACGAATCCTGAAATTCAGAAAATTCTGCAAGGAGATGCGGATAAGAGAAAGCCTGACTTTTGAGTGGCTGAAGATGGAACATTGAGATTTCGCGGACGATTGTGCGTACCTGACAATGTAGAACTCAAGGATGAGATTCTGTCATAAGCACATCGCAGCAATTATAGCATTCACCTAGGTAGCACCAAGATATATCAGAACCTACGTCAACATTATTGGTGGAATGGTATGAAAGTGGATGTAGCCAAACACGTGGCTAAGTGCTTAACGTGCCAACAAGTGAAAGCGTAGCATTGCAAGCCAGGTGAATTACTACGACCACTCGAGATCCCAGAATGGAAATGGGAGCATATCACAATGGATTTCGTGATGGGTCTACCAAGAAGTCAGAGAGGTAATGACTCTATTTGGGTCGTAGTGGATAGACTGACTAAATCTACACATTTCATCGCCGTACAAAAAGATTTCGCCATGGACAGATATGCGGAATTGTACGTGCGCCATATTGTTCGCCTGCACGGAGTACCGGTGACGATCACTTCAGATCGTGATCCCAAGTTCACTGCTACATTTTGGAAAAGTCTTCATGGTGCCATGGGAACGAAGCTGCAGTATAGTACAGCTTATCATCCGCAGACGGATGGTCAATCCGAGAGAACGATTCAAACTCTAGAAAATATGCTGCGAGCTTGCATTTTGGATTTCAAGGGCAGTTGGGAGGAACAACTGCATCTCGTTGAGTTCGCTTACAACAATAGCTATCAACAGAGCATTAGAATGGCACCATTTGAAGCACTGTATGGTAGAGCCTGCAGAACTCCGGTATGTTGGGACGAGGTTGGAGAAAGGAGAATAACGAGTCCAGAGTTGGTACAGCAATCAGTTGAGGCAGTTAAGGTCATAAGAGAAAGGCTTAAGACAGCTCAGAGTCGTCAGAAAAGCTACGCAGACAAACGACGAAAACCTTTAGAATTCCAAGTAGGCGATCACGTCTTCCTCAAAGTGTCACCTATGCGAGGAACTTCACAATTCGGCAAGAAAGGTAAGCTAAGCCCAAGATATGTTGGACCATTTGAGATTTTGGAGAGGATTGGAATCTTAGCTTATCGTCTAGCTTTGCCGCCGAAACTGGCTCAAGTACACGACGTCTTTCACGTATCGATGTTGAGAAAGTATGAACCCGATCCGACTCACGTGCTGAATTACGAAGACATAGACGTGGACGACAAAGTGTCGTACGTGGAAAGACTAGTGCGGATTGAGGATAGAAAGGAACACGTGCCGCAAAACAAGACGATTCCTTTGGTTAAGGTGATTTGGCAACACCACGGAATGGAATGAACGACTTGAGAAAGCGAAGAAGTAATGAGGCAACAACACCCCCATCTTTTTGAATAGTATGGTTATTTGTAAATTTCGAGGCGAAATTTTTTTAAGGAGGGAAGAGTTGTGACATCCTCAAATTTCGACCCTATTCGGGATGTAATTAAATGATAATTTTAATCGATGCACTATTAATAATTCTCGCTCTGAATTGATCACTCATGAGAGACTAATCGATTGGGAAAGGCTGTTAAGGAATTAAGTACACACGACCTGAGAACTCGATCAGGGATTGACAATTCGACCAAGGATTGACGATGGACAATTTTGAGCCATTATAGACCGATTAAGGGATGGTTATAGAACGATTCGCCAATGGTATACAATCGGATAATGGGTGATTCTACTTGACCGTTGTATGTATTGCGAATGATCCTAAACCCATTGACTGATGATCGCGTACTTCGGAACTAGCGATTGATCCCTCGCAATTACATGACAATCGAAATCATCCACGATTCAAGAAAACTTAAACGTGGTTTGATATCGAATCAACCACGGGTTGGATACGCGTAACTCCTAAAAGCCGCCCGTTAGTTTGAGATATACTAAAGTCGCAATCAATCGATTTTGACCATGAATTAGAGTCCGAAATTGGTTGTCGATCTTTCGAGGATTTCAAGACTAAACTGTTGGACGTCGCCTCGTTAATTCTCCGATTTATCGATTTGCTCGGAATTCTCGGAAAAGGATTAATGGGCCTAGAATTTGAGCCCACGAGGATGTGGGCCGGATGAAGGCACATTGGGCCTCAAGCCCAATGTGATTCGGCCACTTGGGCCCAAGGCAAGCTCAAGTAGACCCAATTCAACCCATTAAGCCCAAGTTTGAGCCCATTAGCATTTTCAAGCCCATTCCTTATCCGTTTGAACCCAAACTTGATTTATACGAGTCCGTATAAAATTCTAGCTCCTCTACGTGTATAAGTATTTTTATACTTTGTGAAATTACCAAATTACCCTTCTTGCATTTATGACAAAGAAACAAAATGGTTTAATGCAAGAAGACTTTGTTGTCTTGTGTGATCATGAAGAAGACTTTGTTGGCTTTGCATTTATAAGAGAAATATCACTTGGCCTCTCTTCTTTCCCCCCCAACAGACCACTCTCTCTCTCTCTTTCCTTTCCCCCCCTCTTTCACATCCACTTCTCTCTCTCCCTCTTCTTCCTTCCTCACGCCAACCCCCTTCCTCCCTTTTTGCTCAGCCACATTCAGCCACCATTCAGCCTCTTTGGCTGTTGATTTACTGGCCAGAACCATCAGCAGCGACACGATGACTCCCCACCACCGTGTGCAACCTGTTCATGCCGTTTTCCGTCGCCAAATCGCCTCACCAAAGCCAAACGGGTTCTGTGGGCTGCTGTTCAGCCCCGTTCCAGCTGTATGTCGTCGTCCCGAGTCGATTCTGAACCATACAACGCATAGCCCTCGCCGCCGCCGTCGCGTCCGTATTGTCGGAATCGCTAACGGGTGAGTTTTCGCCCTAATCCCTTGCTTAGTAGGTTAAACTTGATTAGAGCGGATTAGTTTAAGTTAATTATGTTTAGTGTTAATTAATTAGGAATTAATTGTTAAGCTGTTGGAATATTATATTAATTTTCGGGAATTAAATAATAATATTTTATTAATTTTCGGAATTTAAAATATTAATATTTTTGTGGAAATTCCGAAATTAAATTGTGGTTATTTTAGGCTTAAATTGTGATGTCTAAGTTGGAATTTTGCCTTATATATTGGTTTGTATGTTGAATTGAATTGACTGACTATTATTAAATATAGAATTGTGGGAAATTAATTAATAAACCTTGAGGTGTCAAGTTTATTTGTTAAGTTTTATGTGAGAAATATGTTGTGGATACTTAAATATAGAAGCATGCTGAGTTTGAGAATTTATTGATGTGTGTATAATCACGTGTGATTATTTTAGTGCATTTTTACTGCAACATTTTATTGTATTAGCACGGATCATGTCTGTATTAGCTTTTGAAAAGGATAATGATGGAACTTGAGTGGTTGCTATGTGTGCATGAACACCTAAAGATTCCTTTGTGCCCGGTTCTACCGGATGACCGCCAACCTAGGGTTTGGCCGTGGCCCTAACGGGTGTCCCCAATTTGGTAATTGGAAGCCGTCGTTGGTAGTAGGGGAGACGTAGTCATTCGCGAATCGGATTCGGAATGAACCCATTTATGGGATATGCCGTCATTGTGGTCGGGTGAGATGATGCCATGCCCGACGGGGCGGGACGATGCCCGGTTATGCGGGAAGACCGCCAACCTTATGCGAATAACGCTGGTTGTGCCGTGCCCTGTGTGGTTGTAGTAATCGGAATACGCGTGAAAGATTGTGGTGGCATTGCGCTTGATTATGGGATGAAATTGTGAGGCACGGTATGGGACGGGCCGAAGCGGTTTCACCTTATAATCGGGACACATGTTGATGCATTGTGCATGGAAAAGTTGTTGCGTATTCTGATTATATTATATGCTTGTTGCATTATGATTGTATATGATGTTATAACGTGCAGGGCGTGTGCCAAGGCAAGGTAAAGTTACCTACGATTGTGTGATGGCATCTTGTGTACGTTGGGCGAAGTTGCATGTTTTAGGTGCATCCGAGATGAGTTGACCTCCTAATCGAGGCTTAGGTCGTTAACTCGCTGAGATTTATCTCATTGTTGTTGTTTAACCATTTTCATGCCATAAGTGATGAAAAATCACCACGTGCGATTTTGGGATCCCTGTTGACCGAGACCAGGAGGTGACTAGGTACTCGTTCGAGAGGTCAAACTTCTTTTGAGATCACCTCGTAGGTAGAGGAGATAGGTTAACCCCCTACCTTTGTGGTTGTAATCGGGAAGGTCCACGTGGCAGACTTGTAATATATTAACCCGATGTATTGCTGATGATGTTGTTTAAATTAAAGTGTGATTTCCTTACTATCCTGTTTAGTAATTGTTGTTGGGTGAATTAAGTTCGCTTCCGCATGCGTTTAATTGTTAATGATTTGATTGGGTCGGTGACGCGTCCTGGGACGTCGCGTTTATAACGACCGTGGTGGGGTGTTAGCACGCTCGAGGGTCGGGGCGTGACAGGATCAATGTATTGCCCGTTGGAAATTGGGTTCCAACCCGACTCCGCTCTGGCTAGGAGCCCGAGACCAACCTATCGTTGAGACAATTTAATGACATAAAACCTTAATTTTTTCGGGGAAATTCATTTCTCATTGATGAAGAGATAAAACTGGAAATTGCTAAGCCCAGCACAAGAAAAAACACGTGCCGGCCCACCCTCAATTTGACATGTAGAAGTGGAATAGTTTTTGTGCATTCTATCTTAGTTAACAACTTGAAATATTGTGGTACAGGGTTTCACGCGGGACACACCTAATCTAGCGGTGGATACGAATTAGGCTCACATGATCCGGGTGCCTTCAACATTTTACTCCTTCAAACGGGCACGCGCGTGTACGGCAAGTTACAATTATCATGCTAGTCTCAAATAACGGAAATTATAATGTTTCGTGATGCGACATCGAGATGGAATGATCGACACGGTCAGTTGGATTAGTTGAATCCTTGAAGAACCTTTCGATGTACCATTATGAGCAAGACGAAGAAGAAGCAATAGCTTATAACCTTGTTCTCTAAGATAATTTAACTAGCCATATTAACTAAAGAAGAATTGCTGCTCCGCGTACATAAAAAATATATATATATCCAGTCCTGAAAATATTTGGTTTATAGCTATCAGAAGCATCATCGAAAGGTAGAAAGACGTTAATATAAATCGGAGGATAAGGGCTCGGTCCACCATGTATTGTCACGCAAAATCAAAATCACGGACAAAACCAAAGCGAGAAATAAATGCAAAGCGCAAAACCTGACAAAGTGACGTGCCTACTTTGCAAGAAGAGATCACCGAGATGGTTCCACTGTGACCGCCAAAGAAGAGATTACAACTGGTCAATCACACTCGCAAGTGTTCCCCGACCCCGATTACACCTAAATAAGTCCCACAATTAATCAAGAAAATCCCTTGCAATAGGTTTCTCTTTAAGGCTCTCTTAAATCTCTCTTTGAGTTAAGCTTGACGTAATAAGTGAAATACGGCAACCGAAATCTTCTTGACCAAAATACTGCTCAAGTCTGATATCTGGGCAAGGAAGGATCGGATGTCCGCAGTGCTGGAATTTTCCAATTCTTACATCCTGGATGGACCTCCGATCCTAACTCCGGACGTCCGTTCTTCTCGTTATGGAATCACATTAGCCTCCAAACTTTGGTACTTCATTCCGGACGCCGTTCACATGATTTAGGACGTCCGAAAATGTCTCTCTGTGCAATACGAAATATTTCGCTCACTCCGGATGTCATTGAATCAAATTTAGTCAGTTCCAAACCAAATTGGGTCTGATTTTGAGTCATAATCAACAAATCTCCACCTTGGCGAGATGGCCGACTTCGTCCTCATAGTGTCATCTCTCCGACAGGCCCTATGGACTCCCCACTCGTTAACCAAGTCGGCAAGTCCTAGTAGTTTTTTAACTTGGTAACTGAGATAGGTTTCATTAACATGCTTGATTATTTGCCATATGCACTTTCTCAATGGATGCAGTTTTCTGTGACCCAATATTACGAATAAAATGCTACCTAACATCAATGTGTTTTGTCCTCTCATGATACATATGATTTTGGGCCATTGTGTTGCTCTCTGATTGTCACAGTGAACAATATTCTCATATTGTAATCCCAAATCACTGAGCAAACTTTGAGCCAAATAGCTTCTTTGATTGTGTCGGTTTGACGCCAAACACTCTGCATCAGTCATCAACAAGGCAAAGATTGGTTGTAATTGCACTTTCCAACTAACGGCACCACTCGCAAACTGAACACATAACCTATCAAGGATCTCCATCCATCAAAGTCATCAGCACAATCAGAACCTACGTTACCCGTTATACCGCTGGGAGGCCGTCTCTTTCCAAATGTTAAAGCCATGTCTCCTATCCCTCCAAGAAGCCTCATAATCCAATTTCAGAACTTCCCAATGTTTCTTTTAGGATTACTCATATACCTGCGTACAACTCTTACAGCATGTAAAATGTATGGTCTAGTGAAGACCACAGCATACATAATACTTCTAACAACTCTAGCATAAAGAACACTAGGTATATATTCCTTATCTTCCTCTAACTGTGGTCTTAGATCAACTGAAAGCTTTAAGCGTGCAGCTAGCGGGGCACTCACTGGTTTGGCAATTTGCATGCTAAATTGGCTCAAAACTTTATGCACATAATCACCCTATCATAGTCGAAGTGTTGCTACAACCCTATCCCTCTATATCTCCATATCGAGTATCTTTTTCGTTGCACTTAAGTCTTTCATCTCTGACTCACTATTGAGTTGTCGTTTCAACTCATCAATATCAGACATGTTCTTAACTATTATCAACATATAATCAATGCACAACAACAAATAAAGGTAGCTACCATCCTCTAACCTCCTACAAAATACGCAGATCTCATGTGCACTGCTACTATATTGTTGTCCAATTATAAAGGAATCAAACAATTTGTACCACTGCCTAGGAAATTGCTTAAGGCCATAGAGGGAACGTTTAAGCAAGCATACCTTGTCTTCAAGGCCTAAAGCGACAAAACCTTTCACCTCTAACTCACCATGTAAAAAAGTTGTCTTAATATCTTGCTGCTCCAACACCAAGTTGTCAGCCACAACCGAAGCCAACAGCAGCCTGATTAAGCTATGGTTCACCACAAGTGAGAATATCTCATTCCAAAACATTTAGCTCGCTCTGGATGTTCTCGAATGAAATCAAGTCGGTGCCAAACCAAGTCTTGTCTAACTTCGAGCCATAATCAACATATATATACTTCTATTTCCCAATTCCTATTGAACAAGCTACATCTTTTAACCCTAATAACTATGTCCAAACAAATTCTTATGCAGAGTAGAGTTATTTACTGCCGTCATTACAACTATGTAATGCAATATGTGATAAAAGTTATACTCGGATCAGTTCACTGGTGCTGATTTGCAGGCCAGAATTTCCGTTTCCTAGCACTAAATATTGATTGATTCATCGAATGCACCTGCATAATTTAGTAACAAGAAAACCAATAATTTGCCTTTCTGTCGAATAGTAGGAGGAAAATTCTCATTTATGATGTAACACGCCACACCTGAGCTCTTTGATATGATCGAAATAAATATTCATAATGCATGTACACTTGGTTCTATGGATTCAATACTGTTTTTCACACGTATGTTGGCCGAGTTTTCTATACACCGACTCAATAATATGAATGAAAATTGCATAGAATGAAATTGAAATACATATCCATTGACAACCGAAATACCATGTTAGGCCGTCGTTTGTTTTTTGAGCTGACCAACCATCGAACGGGCATAGTCAATAGCAAGACCGACCAAGTCGAAGCTCCAAATCAACTTCTTCGCTGTCCTCATCGCTCCTCATTACCTGGCCGATCTCCACGCTCGATTGATCAATACTTAAGCTCAAGTCCACTCCCGAACATCCACCCTCTCTACTCAAGCCTGCCAAGCTCGGGATTTCGAAGTCAAAGCTTTGAAGATAATTCACCTTGTGCTTGAGCAGGGTCGCTGGCGAAGCAAGTAGACCCTTTTGATAATTTCTCTGTGACTTCCTGATTGAATAATAATAATTGGGTTGTGCACCATGTTGGTGGTTCATACACACTGTTTGGTCACAAGCAGTTGTTGCGCCATCACGGAAGGACGGTTGCGCTTTGATCTTGTGGCTTGGCTTCATGCGATCCTTCCGGTGTATGTTCATGTGGCCGCCTAGGGCTTGTGCGTTGGTGAACCCTCGCTTGCAGAAAGTGCACTTGTAGAACCGCTGCTTTGAGGTGGCATCATCCTTGACGTCCTGACCTATCCGGTTACCCGGTCCAACGTCGCTTCCTTCTTTGCTCAAGGTCTCTCGAGTACAACCGTGCTTCACGGCGTCCATTGCAGAAGAGGAAGGGCAAAAAATCAAAAGCCCTGTTCGCTGACGCGAAAGGTGAAGAGACTAAGTCTTGTGTGCTTGAACTTAGCTGGTGAGATAAAAAGGATATGTTGGAATATTGTAGGATTTTGGCGATAGTGAGCGACCCTGCGTGCGTGTAGAGAGAGGGAGCGAGACAGAGAGAGGATTTTGGAGGGAAGTGAAGGAGGGACAGAGACAAGAAGAAGATATTGGCATTTCCGGGTGGCTTTAGTGAAATGGCATTTATACATACAACAGTTTGGCGTTTGCTGGAGAGAAACTATTCGTTGAGCCGGCTCTGCCATGGAGGTCACAGCTCTCTCTCTCTCTCTCTCTCTCTCTCTCTCTCTCTCTAATTTGTAATTTAGGACGCATAGGACCCCACTATTTTCCAAGAGAAAAGATCATGAGTGACTTCCGTATACGGTAGAAAGACTCAAGTGACCAATATAATACCATATTCGTGTGAAAGTTATTCTGAACTCATTGCCCTTGGAAGGTCAGACAATCTAATTAGATCGCATGAACATGGGTACGCTTGTTCTTAGAAAGTGGTACAAACAATGGATGACTAAGTGGTCTCAAAACATAAAAGGACGAGCATCTACTGTCCGGCTTTGTGACCGAATCACATGTCCCGTTCTTCAAATTGTGACTGATGCGTGATGGGAATGTGTTTCGAGCAATAATGTGAATTATGATGGAAGATGATCACCACCAAGGCATAAAAGGACACGCCACTAGCCAAGGATAAAGATCGGAATAAATGAAGTTCACCACCAAAGCCTAAAGAAACACTACCGGCCAAGGATGAAGGACTTCAGGATAAGAGCAGTTCACCACCAAGGCCTACAGAAAAGTATAATTGACTTCTTGGTTCACCACCAAAGTGAATTTGGATAAATAATCAAAATAAGAAATTTGCTCACTTGAGGAAAATGTCACGTACATTCAAACGCAAATCTTCTAAGCAGAGATGAGATTACACCTCTATTTATAGAGGTTAAAGGACACACCATGAATCAAGAATAAAGATTGGGATAGATGATGTTTACTACCAAGGCCTAAAGAAACACCACCTGCCTAGGATGAACAACTTCAAGATAGGAGAAGTTCTTCACCACGGCCTACAGGAAACTCACTATGCAAGGATAAATGACTTCTTGGTTCAATAAAAAACCAAAATGAGAAATATGTTCACTTGAGGAAAATCTCACGTATATTTAGATGAAAGTTTTTTTGGGGAAAGAACAGCAGAAGTGCCAAAAGTTGTGTACAGAGCTCACTTTGGTGCCAAAAGTTTTATTTGGATCATTTAAGTGCTAAAATTTTTGAAAAACGATCACTTAAGTGCCAACTCCGGTCAGTTTAGCCGGAAATCCGACGTGGTATTTTTTTATTAATTTCTGAAGCCGATGTGGCTAGCCGGAGATACAGTCAGCACGTACAGTCAGCATTTTTTATTTTAAATAATTTTTTTTCTTTTTTCCTTTTTTTTTCTTTTCTTTCTTTTTTCCTTCTTTTCTTTTTTTCTTTTCTTTCTTCTCCCTTTGGTCACTACCGCCGGTGACCGGAGGCCGGCCACCGGCCGCCTGGCCTCGCCCGGACGAGGCCGCCGCCACCCACCACAGGCGAGGCCCGGCCGACCCTCGCCTAGGCGACGGCGGGCAAGCCCCAGCGAGGGTCGGCCTTGCCTCGCTTGGGCAAAGGCAAGCCGCAATGAGGGCTCCCCTCGCCGAGATCCGGCGAGGCTCGCCATCGCCCACGCCACGACGGCCCCGCGGCGTCGTCTTCCCCGGCGAAGTCCGGCGGGGCCGCCATGGCTCGGGCGACGGCCGGCCTCGCTCGATCTCGGCGAGGGGAACCCTCGTCGGGGCTCGCCTCGCCCATGCGAGGCAAGGCCAACCTCGCCGGGGCTTGCCCGCCGTCACCCAGGCAAGGGTCGGCCGGGCCTTGCCGGACGAGGCCGCCGCCGCCCGCCACAGGTGAGGTCCGGCCGACCCTCGCTTGGACGACGACGGCCAAGCCCCGGCGAGGTCGGCCTCGCCTCGCATGGGCAAGGGCGAGCCCGACGAGGGCTCCCTCGCCCGAGATCAGGCGAGGCCGGCCGTCGCCCGGGCCCCCCGGCGTCGCCCGGCGGAAGGCGACATCCAGCGGGGCCGCCGTGGCCCGGGCGACGGCCGGCCTCGCTGATCTGGCGAGGGAAGCCCTCGTCGGGGCTCGCCCTTGTCCATGCGAGGCGAGGCCGACCTCGCCGGGGCTTGCCCGTCGTCGTCTAGGCGAGGGTCGGCCGGGCCTCACCTGTGGCGGGCGGCAGCGGCCTCGTCCGGGCGAGGCCAGGCGGCTGGTGGCCGACCTCCGGTCACCGGCGGTGACCAAAGGGAGAAGAAAGAAAAGAAGAAAAAAATTCAGAAAAGTATTTAAAAAATTGAAATAGATACGTGGAAATGCCACGTAGACTAATGTTTTTAAAAAAAAAATCCAACTAAGATTAAAAATTTAATTATAAATGCCATGTATTAATTTGGCCGGAATTTCTCGCCGTTGGCACCAAAGTGATCATTTTTCCTCCGATTTGGCACTTAAGTGATCCAAATGGAACTTTTGGCACCAAAGTGAGCTTCGTACACAACTTTTGGCACTTTTGCTGTTCTTTCCCCAAGTTTTTTTAGTATAGATGAGATTACATCTCTATTTATAGAGAGCTTCTGCTAAACAAAAGAAATTAACTCTTGAAATCCTAGAAACAGAAATGACTCTTGGAGTATTCACGTTAGTAAGACTTTTGAAATTGACATCATAATAAAGACTCATAATAACTAGGACTAAGTGCATTTAACTAGGTTTTAGCAACAAAAAAAAAGTGCATTTAACTAGGACTAGATAAGACTCTCCAAATTTGTCCACCGGTCTCATCAGTTGAACAACCACCTTGGAAGATCGATAGACAACATTGGAGATCAACTAGAAAAACTCTAGTCACTAGGTAGTCGATTAGCAGTTTCGAATTCGACAACAAACTTATAAATTGACATCTTGGTAGCCAATTGACAACTATTTCTTTGAATCGGCTACTTTAATCCTGAACCCACCAAACCAAATTATAGTCGATATTGACCCTTGTTTGCATAAGTAAGGATCAGGTTAATTCAATCGACGAAACATGAGTCGGGTTTAAAATTTGTTCCATAGAATCGGATCCTTTAGCATCAATGATGCATGTCCATCACGTGATTCGTCATTCAATTTCGACCCCTCTCTCTTTCTCCCCCTCACTCCCGCCCTCCTAGCAGCCAAATTCCAGCGTCGTCTCAAAGCCATTGTCGAGCCCTTGACGAGATCTGGCCATCACTATCTAGATCTTACCAAAACTCTGATAGCAAGACTAATATGGACGCCTCTTTTCGAGATCACGTCGTTGTCTGTCTTATCGACAGCCGATGACATGGAGGTAGGTAGGGACACCAATCTGATGTCTCCATAAATAACCTCGCGCCCTGTCTGGTCAACCACTAATCGAGTGACAGTGGACCCGCTATTATACACTAATTTACACTAGGAAAAAACATCATTTGATACCCTAATCTCTCTGTCTCATGTCCTCATCCACACGCTGCCACCGAGTGTCGGGGCTCCAGCCACCACAGTCAATGGTGGCCTCCACCACACCACCTCATCGCCAGCCTTGACAATGGACGGACCTCTTCCCCCGAACATCACTTCCTCTCCATTTGTCTTTGTTTCTTGCCTTCTACTATCCGCAGCAAGCTCAACAACAGGGTCAAGTTTAGGGAGAGAGAGAGGAGAGGTGACTCGCTGTTGTCGGTGGCGTGAGTAATGCCACGGCTGAGGTTGATGATCATAAGGGCGCTAGTGGCTGCGGCGAGGTGGACGAAGAAGGTAGCGGGTCATACACTTAGGGGGAAGGGAGAAAGAGGGGAGGACGGTTGGTTCACCGATTTAATTAGATGCAGGTGAGCGCAAAATAAAGTGTCGACTCATCATTCGGTATATGAAATTATAGACGAGCATAATAGGATATGACGAATCTATATCTTAAGAGTTTTCCAAAAGATTTTTATACAATACATACACGGTTTGTGTGACCCATTTGTTAATAAACCCATCTCCATATAGATAATTATTGTTTGAAAATCTGATCAACTATTTATTCATATATCTAGTTAGCTCATAACCTAATAACACAAAGGCATATGAATGCATCAAAACATCCGCCACTCATCCCAATGATTTAATACGAAAAGGAAAAATTACTTTCCACATCCCATAAATCTTGTCAATTTTCTCTGACATGAATGGTTACCGATATAGAAAAAATCACTAAAGATGTCCTTAGTTAAGAAAATTTCCTAAGCATAAACTCCAATACATGACTATGCTTCCGAACGATGTTTCCGGACATGTAGTCTAACAATGAATCTTAATTAGTTCGAGTAACTATTAGAACTATCAAAATGAGTTATACACGCATTTCTTAACCCATATTTGATGGGTTGAGGGGTTAGTTATATTCAGTAAATAATGTTATAAATGGGTTTAGAATGGTAAACCCCAAAATAATATGAGTGTTAAATGGGTTTACAACTTACCTTTTCACTCTCTCTCGTTCTCATTCAATCTCGCACTCGCTCACTCCTCTCTCTCACTTTTATTTGGGTATTCCTAAATTGAGTTAAATATGAAAGTGTTTTTGCAATACGGGTCAGATTGAGTATGAGTCACTAGGTTTGTATTATATGGAAATTGGTCAATTTGGGTCGGACCATTTTTTACCCAACCCAAACCCGACTCGATTCACCCAACTGACAAGTTTACTAACCATGCACTAAACACTTGCTTACCCGACCACAGTCACATCTGTTGCTCGGAATGAATGAGATGTCACACAAAACTATCTATCCTCCTTTTTCTATTACTATTATAATATTAACCAAGCTATTGAATAGAAAATATTAAATAAC